TCCTCTCCTCTCCTCCCCTCCTCCTCTCCTCTCCTCTCCTCTCCTCCTCTGCTCTCTCTTCTCCTCTCCTGTCCTTTCATCTCCTGTCCTCTCCTGTCCGCTCCTCTCCTCTCCTCTTCTCCTACTTGGCATCGTCGAGGTGGCCTGTCGTTCTGGCGCAGCGTGTATCCGAACACCCAGAAGACAAGAGGGGCTGTCGTCTCGAGAGAGGCCCCGAGCCCCTGCTGGAAACGGCCTCCGCGGCAACGGCACGGGGTCGGGTTCGGGCTCGACGACAGGAGGGGGGGGAGGTGGGGGGCAACGACAAGGGGGACTGGCCCAGGGGGGGGACTGGCCCAAGAAGGGGGTTTGAGTCAGGCGATCGCAAACAAGGGGGCGTGTATTAGCGACGGGTCCCGTTTCCAAGAGAACTCGCGGCTTTCCGCAGCCGAGCGAGGCGGCACCGGCCGCATTTCGGGGAGGCAGGATGAGGAGGAGGAGGAGGAGGAGGAGGAGGAGGAGGAGGAGGAGGAGGAGGAGGAGAGGAGGAGGAGGAGGAGGACAAGGAGGAGGGAGGAGGGGAGGAAGGAGGAGGAGGAGGAAAGACAAGCAGGAGGAAGCAGAGGAGCAGGAGGAGCAGGAGGAGCAGGAGGAGCAGGAGGAGCAGGAGGAGCAGGAGGAGCAGGAGGAGCAGGAGGAGCAGGAGGAGAAGGAGGGAGGAAGGAGGAGGAGGAGGAGGAGGAGGAGGAGGAGGAGGAAGAGGAGGAGGAGGAGGAGGAGGGAGGAGGAGAGGAGGAGGAGGAGGAGGAGGGGAGGGGGGGAGGGGGAGGGGGGAGGGGGAGGGGGAGGGGGGGAGGGGGATGATGATGATGATGATGATGATGATATGATGATGATGAATGATGATGATGATGATGATGATGATGGATGATGATGATGATGATGATGAGGATGATGATGAGGAGGAGGAGGAGGAGGGAGGAGGAGGAGGAGGAGGAGGAGGAGGAGGCGGAGGAGGAGGAGAGAGGACGGTGGAGGAGGAGGAGGAGGAGGAGGAGGAGGAGGAGAGGAGGAGGAGGAGGTGGGGAAGGAGGAGCGAGGTGATGGCGGAGGAGCAGGAGGAGGAGGAGGAGGGGCTCCTGGGGGGGGAAGGATCGACCCCCAAAAGCACATGCCTCACCGATTGGGGCCTGGGCGCCCCAGCCTGCGCGGGCACGTGCGGTCCAGGTGTCGAGGGCCTATCGCCGAGCTGTCGGCGAGGTGCCGTCGATTCCGGGCCAACGTTCCCCCTCCCCGAGTCGGTCCCCCCCGTCGTCGTGTCCCCTCGGGGGGTCGGGAAAAGAGGGGTTCGAGCACTGCTGCGTGCAGGTGATTTCTGTCTTGCTGCGGGGCGTCTTCCTCGTCCCCCGACGCCTCCATCGGCGGAAGGCGCCGGGGAGGCCGGGCGCTGGCCCCCTCGTGGCTGTCGCCCCTGCTGTCCGCCCCGAGAAGGGAGGGAGGAGGGAGGAGGGAGGAGGGAGTGCGGAGGGAAGAGGGAGGAGGGGGCATGCCTCCTTCCCTCCCTGCTTCCATCTTCCCTCTTCGCCTCCCATGCTTCCCTCTTTTCTCCTTCCTCTTGCTCTTCCCCCTTCCCGGTCCTTACCTCTTCCCTCCCTTTAGATTCCGTCTGGTCGTCGTCACCCTTCCCACGGCGCAAGGGGGGGAGGACACCGTGGATGGCATCGTGGCAACCCCAGGCCGCGTGGTCGACGAGGACGGCCTTTGGGCTGGGAGGGTTGAAGAAGGAATGGTGATCAGGAAAGAGAAGGGATAACGATTGCGATTGTGAAGGTGATGCTAATTCCGATGATGATGATGATGATGATGATGATGATGATGATGATGATGATGATGATGATGATGATGGTGATGATGATGAGTTGAGGAGGAGGAGGAGGAGCAGGAGGAGGAGGAACAGGAGTAGGAGGAGGCGAAACATGACTAAGATGGTGCTGCTGCTGCTGTTGATGATGATCATGAGCACGATCACGGAGACAATGACGATGACGGTGCCAGTTACAACGACGATGAGGACGCTGATGGCGACGACGACAATGGTGACGACGATGCTGCTGCTGACAATGGTCAGGATGATCGGAGGCTGGGGGGTGAGGTCGCAGAGGAACGGAGGTCCCCCCACCGGGAAATCGGTTTCGGTTTTGTGTTCGTGTCGTGCGTGCGGGCGAGGCGAAGCTGCGTGGGCGCGCGAGAGAAATAATGCCTCCGTGGCCAGGGGCTGTGGAGCCGGTTGTTCGCGCTCCCCCCGTCGGCGCGCGGTGGCCCGGGGTGTCCTGACGGTGGCGCGTCAGTGTATCGTCAGTGTTCCGTGTCCCGGAGCAGGGCGGCGCGAGTCAGTGTCCCAGAGCAGGGCGGCGAAATCGATAGTGAGATCGTTTGGGAGGTCGATCGTGATATCCGTTGTGAGATCGATGGTGATATTTGTTGTGAGATCGATGGTGGGATCGCTTGTGAGATGTGTAGTGGGATCGACAGTGAGATCGATCTTGAGATTGAGCGTGAGATCGATTGGGAGGTCGGTTGTGACGCTGATAGTGAGAACTGTTGTGAGACCCATAGTGAGTTCGAATGTGAGATCGATAGTTAGTTCGATTGGCAGATCGACGGTGAGATCGATTGGGAGATCGATAGTGCGATCTGTTGTGAGCGCGTCGGATGGGATGACAAACAACAGCACTCATCGCGACTAGCATCATCATCACGCGTCGTCGTAAGCCCGAGGGCGCATCACCGGCATCGTCCTCATCACAACCACCAATATTACCATCAGTTGTTTTTTTCTCCCAAACTTCCTCATCACCCGAAGGGTGGTCGTATAGGTACTTAATGTATTGGTGATGGTGGTGGTGATGATGCGTGATGACGGTGACGGTGGTGATAACAGGAACGGTGACGATGATAACGATGGCGTGCTGGTCTTGTTGTACGACCATGAGGATGATGGTGCTGCTGCTGAGGATGACGATGACACTAATGATGACGAGGATGACGAGGATGTCGACAGTCCGTGACAGTGACGGTGGTGCTCTCGCTGATGCGGATGAGGATACGAGAATGGCTGTGATGCTGTTGTTGAGGATGCTTCGGGTTATCACGGTGAGTCACCACTCACTAAACACCCCAACCCAACCCGAAGGCCAAAATTTAATTTCGATTTCCAGTGGGGGGGGGGTCGGGGAACATCGAAAAACACGTGCGGAACCCGTACCCCCCAACCTGAAACTTGGGTCTTGGGGTTAGGTTGGGGTGGCCTGCTAGGTAGTCAGTAAGGGCGACGACGACGCGCCTTGTTGCTCCGGCCTGCGCCACCAGCAGCCTGCCGGCGCACCACCGGCCGCAGGCGGTGAGGAACACCGCGCAGAAGATCCAGAACGCTCCCGCGGAGGTCCGCGCCCCCCCCCGCCACGGCCTGGACGGATGCAGGGATTGGAGGAGGACGAGGAGGAGGAGGAGGAGGAGGAGGAGGAGGAGGAGGAGGAGGAGGAGGAGGAGGAGAGGAGGAGGAGGGGGGGCGGAAAGAGAGGCTGCATTAGGAGGATCAGCACAGTCGGACCAAAGTGTAAGATCGAGGTCGGTTCGGGTAGTGTACCCTAGTGCTCTTCGAGTTTGTTGGATTCTCTTGTGCATCCGGGGGAGGGCACCCTTGGATGTGCCGTCTGTTTTGGCGGACGGAGGGTCTCATGTTCTTGAAGGATGTTCTTGTGGATACCGCTACCCTTCCCTCGTCTTCCCCCTTTTTGGCCTCCCGGGAGGCCCTCGTCGCCACCGCTGGATTCGCCTCGTAATTCTGTTCAGGACACGCCCTGGGAGAGGTCTGGAGAGTAGCAGTATCGGTACCTTTTGGTTTCCCTAAGGGAGGGAGGAAGGTAGGACGCAATTCTCGCCTCCATATCTGCTCTCTACCCTTCTCCTCCTCCATCACCCTTCATCCTACTCCTCCACCTGCACCTCGGGGCTGTCTTGATCGCTTCCTTCTCTTCTTCCTCCTCCTCCTCCTCCTCCTCCTCCTCCTCCTCCTCCTCCTCCTCCTATGTC